CTTCTAGGATGCTTTCCAGGTTTTCAACTTAGAAAGCATTGGATAATTGGTTCAGCTGATGTAAGCTTGTTGTGATTTGCAAAACAGGTAATCAAAAGAAGGTCACCAGACCTTTCTGTTAGTGTAGGTGTAAGTGCCCTGTGTACTCACTCTGTCTCACTTGTATTTAGATTATTACAGAAAGGACCAAGCCCAGGATGCACGAGTTCCAGTCTGAGGTGTTTATGATCATAGGGGGCTGTACAAAAGATGAGAAGTTTGTAGCAGAAGTGACTTGCCTGGATCCTTTGAGGCGAAGCCGCCTGGAAGTAGCAAAATTACCAATCACAGAGCAGGAGCCGGAGAATGAGAATAAAAAATGGGTGGAGTTTGCATGCATTACGCTAAAAAACGAAGTCTACATATCGGGTAAGGAATAAGACATTGGGAGTTGAAGAGGGGAGCAGGGGGTTCTCACAATTTCCAGCTTTTTTCAAGACAGCTTTAGGGAAATTAAACACTACAGTTCTTTTAATGCTTTGGCTTTGAATGGGCTCCAGAGAGCACTGGATGTGTGAGGACACTGCCTAGTGCTGGGTTTAGCACAGGATTTCTTTTCAGACAATATTAATCTATGTACATGGCTACTTGTGTGTGGCACCCTGAACTTCAGTGGCCCTAAACACTCAGTAACTATGGTCACAGAAGGGGTCTTGGGAGCAGTTTATCAAACATCAAATGAAGGAGAATTACTTCAGCATCTTTTTGTGACAAGTACATTTGCAGCTCCACATGTATAAACAAAATCCTGCCAGAATCTGAGTCACTCTGCAAAAGTCAGTCAAGAACCTGCAGCTAATTGTCACCACTGTTTGGCTGCTCCCTGGAAACTGCACTTTCAGGAGCACTTCTAGAGCCATCAGACAGGACTCTAGAAGTGCCCACTTGTTAACAGCAGTTTTAACTGTCAAAGCCAGATGAAACCTCACAGTACAGACATCCACTGTGTGTCTGAACATCCCATTTGCCAGCTCACATCCTGAGAGCTTCAGGGGGCATGTTTCACTTCCCAGGCAAATACAGTTGAGCTCCACACAGGGGGTTGATTCTGGAGCTGTGGAGTTTTTAGTTTGACAGTCAAAAAGGTTAAACTCAAGCTTGCTGGTCAGTTTGAGAGCTGGTTTTGATGACATATCAAAAACAAGTCTGATGGTCTTGCTCTGCTTTCCAGAGGAAAAGTGACAGCAAGGTTGTCATCTCTGTTGCGTTACAGACCACGTTAACGAGCAGGGCCTCCATGAGTAGGATACTTTTTTTTTCTGCAAAATCATCCACCAAATTTTACGCTGGCTTAAAACAAGAGAGTAGAAAGGAGGAGGAAGAGCCAAAGTGCGAATGTTTTGCTTAAGTATGAATAGTGGTTCACTGCCTATATTCAAATATCTTCCATTGCACTCTCTCTTTGGAGAATCCATGTATTTTTATTACTTCATTCCAATTTAAGGTTTATTAAATCTTTATCCTGGGATAAGAATGAGATAATTTCTTCCCTAGTTACAAATGAAAGAGTTTTTTTCCTTTCAGCCCACGAAAGAGAGTTTCTTTTTACCTTGACATCAGTCCCTCTGTTAAAAGTTAGCTGTAGAGGGGAATCTAAGTCAAACATCTCAGCTAGGGAATATGCCTCACACCTCCACACTCTTGAGTTGAGAGGCTTCTTTTCCATTTGCCTTTAATCTCTTACCCTTTCCTCTTTTTCAAGGTCACAGGCTTTTTGCATCCTTTTATTCCTGACGCCTTTTCCACTGTCTCTTCTCCACTTTTCTTTTGTGGTCTATCCAGGCTACCTCTAAGCCAGGCTTACACATTCCCTGCTGTAGTGAGTCTAAGCTGCCTTTCCCTTTGCTTCTATTCTCACAGGTTCCATTTCTTCCTTCTCTGCTTAATTTCATATCTTTGACACCCTCTCTCCATTCCCTCTTTTCCTTTCTCCTTTTTGTTCTTCTTACCCAAATAAAAGGCTGAGCGGACCAAAGCCATTAGCAGGTTTTTTTCTAGCTAAACCAAATTATTAGTGTCTCAATCCTGATTAAACATCTGCCTCCTCCTCTGTGTCCTTCTACTTTTGTTTTCTTTTAGCTCCTGTAACTTGCTTTTTCTCGAACCTGACATGCATCTTTCCTAACTTGATCTCACCTCCCATGTGCTCATTTCCCTCAGTATCTTGGAACAGTCTGGGGTCTTCCTTGCTCTTTTAGCATCTGAACAATAGGAAAGTCCTTTGCACAAGATTATGACAACTGTTGTGTCACAATTTCCCCCAAACAATTTAAATGTTTTGACTGGATGGCCTGAAACACTACATTTGTAGCATAACTAAGAATGACATGAATTATCACTCTCCATTCCGTTACTTTTACTAATTTAGGCACAATTTCTCCTCAAATTAGGAAGAACTGTTGTCTAGAGAAAGAACGGAAACAAAATAAACCTCCAGCTCTTGCAGAAAACTCTCCCTGTCCCCTGATGTGCAGCAAATTCACCCACTGGTCCAGCTAGGCTCCCACCAGAGTTTCCCCCTACACAGAAAAGCACAAGCTCATGTCAAAGGGAAATTTCAAGAGAGAGTAAGGGCAACACCTGCAGTCTCTCAGCCCCATTGTAGCCATGAATGCTGCATTCAGGCCCTTCAGCCACTTCAGCTGAGTGCAAATAAAATTCAACACATGCATGTGAAAAATACTGAGACAAAAGCATTACAAACGACTCTTTCTAGCATGCTAATCATTTCCCATTCAATCTGCTATTTGGCCCAGGGATAGAATTCATCAGTTTGCAGTGATCTGGCTGCAGTACAGAATACCAATGAGGGCAGACACTTTGTCAATGGAATATGAATTATCTTTTCAGTATATTCACCAGTGAAGCAAATATCTAATCAGGTTGCAGATGATGTAATAAGCTACTCAGACTGTAAATGTGGTTTCAGGCTTAACTAGATCCGTTTGTATTACGGTTACACCAGAAACTGTACACAAACAAAAGCACTTGTTTAAAACTGCTCTCTGCTTTAGCACAAGGAAAGATTCTCTCGCAAGTCAGCTCTAGAGTGAGTTTGCAGAGTCCAGTCCTGATCTTCAAGCTATAAATGTGAACGAAATCCAAGTCTGTAGAGAAAGAGACCAGGCGAGGCACAAAAATGAGATCTCAGCCATATGTTCCCAAGGTTGAATAGTAAAACTTCTAACAGGTCATGCAGGACTATTGCTGGTAGGAGTTGAGAGTCAGGTCTTTTGCTTTGTTATGCAGACCACGAGGCTGGCTGGACCGAGCCTGCACAAACCAGCAGTTCCTCAGTGTGGGCCTGTCTTTGAGGGATTTGGCACTACCAGTTGCAGCATCCTCTGCTATCTTGTGTAAATCATGTTTGTTCCTTTGCCCCTTCCAGCATTCTGCACAGTTCTGGTAGTGCACAAAAACCTCCTGCATATCACCACACTATGTGTGGTTGGTCATGCACTCAGTATTGAAATGAAAGTGGTTGTGGTCTGGTAAAGTGAGGAATAGTGATTTATATTTACTGAATATCTGGTTGCAGAAATTCTCCAGAGTTTCCTTCACTGTTAAGTAAACTAAATGCAGAATTTTTCTTCTGCTATGACAGGTCCAGGCCATTGGTATAGGTAATTAAGAAGTTAACAATAAGTAACAATGATTTATTTTTTGTTGTGTTTCAATTCAAACGTATTGGAGATTTGAAGTAAATACAAGCTATGCTATCATATTTACATGTGTCACGTACGCTGCAGGTGGCAAAGAAACAAAGCATGATGTCTGGAAATACAATGCCTCCATCAACAAATGGATACAGATCGAGTATCTAAACATTGGGCGATGGAGGCATAAAATGGCAGTGTTGGGTGGCAAAGTGTACGTCATCGGTGGGTTCGATGGCATGCAGAGAATCAACAGCATGGAAACATATGATCCCTTTCATAACTGCTGGTCAGAGGTAAGCTGCTGTATCACATAGCATTTTACTCTTTTGGAACATTTTAATCAGAAAATGTTAGGGCTTGGAATTGTGAAAATGAACAAACAGGATCTCATACAATTCTTTGAAGTATTTCTGGTCTGCAAAAACCCTAAATATTGTTTTCTGTAGAAATGTTTATTTTTCAGAAAGTAAAGATCCCTGGATTACCTGCCAGTTGTTGCCTGTGAGATATCTAATGCCTAACTCCCCTGTTTGTAGTTGACTTTTGAAGCTAGTAGTCCATAAAACAGTGAATAAGAACATAGCATACATGACCCAGAGCACAGGCTGAAAACTACTGCTCTGATACATTATATATATATATCAACCTGTGCATTATATATGCTATGGGCTATAAATTTAAGTTGAAAGTACAGGTTTTAAGGTAAACAGAATGAAACAACTGCAGTTCTACTAACTGTACTTCAAGCAATAAAAGGAGAGAATTAGGCAGCCAATTAATCCATGAGAGTAATGAGATCAGGCATCATAATGGACACACAAACCCTGGTTTCTAGATTATGCAAAGCAATGTGGATGAATATAACAACCACAGCTGCAAGTAGAAAGATCAGTATGAAAATATTTCATGTGTTTTTTCAATGTATGTAGGTACGTAAAGGAGATTTTGGGCATTTCTGGCATTTCCTAACTTTTGAATTGTTGAGAGTGTAATTTTAATTTCAGCATTTGAACAGAGTATATTTTTATAAAGGGTTTTTGCTGTCTTAAGAGTGAGCTGAAACATACTTCTCCCTTATCCCTAGAAATTTCAACTTCTGAACCCTACTTAAAAAGGAAACTTAAAAGGGATATCTGACTTAAAATTCCACAGACTCCCACCCTGTAGGCATGTCTGACTGCTTCAGGTGGTCACAGATGATTTTTTACGGTCCACAGGCTGCTCCCCTCATGGTCAATGTGAGTTCCTTTGCAGCAGCAAGCTACAAGAAGAGACTCTATGTGATTGGGGGAGGACCTAATGGGAAGCTGGCAACGGACAAGACTCAGTGCTATGACCCTGCAGCCAACACATGGAGCCTGAAGGCTGCCATGCCCGTGGAAGCCAAGTGCATCAATGCTGCAAGTTTCCGTGATCACATCTATGTGGTGGGTAAGTGAAACATTGATGGTTCTCCTTGTCTAGACTCAGCAGGGATTGTATCTGTGTGTTAGGTTTACCCACAAACTCTGTGGAGTAAAATCAAATAGTTGGATGGCTATTCCCATTGAGCTTAGCAAGTGATGGGAATTCAGCACATTCACAAACAGCAGTGAAGAGTTACCAAGTCAAAATGTCTGGGAAAGCTGAAGCTAGGCCAGAGACAACTTAAAGCCATCCAAAGACGTGTTTGCAGTGGCAAGGGCATGAACTCATGACTACACCACGTCCTCCCTCCTCTCCAGGGGTGTTACACAGCCCACTGCATGCAGCATTTGTGCAGGGATATGGGTCCTAAGAGCAGGTCATGGGAGCAGAGCTACTGATACCCAAAGACCCAGACTTCTTCACTAGATTGCACTTGGGGTTAATTCAGTCAATTGCCAGAACTGGAAGCAAAGATGGAAGAACAAGAGTTTGATGGCGGCGAGCCAAACTATAGAGGGAGGAGGGAGCCTGCAGATGGTGGTGGAAAATCCAGAAGGAGGAGAGAGAAACATTTGTTTCCAAAGCAGGAGCTCTGAAAAGTTCCCCCCCCTTCCCTCAGCCTTGATGCAGGAAGTTTCTCATTTACAATATAATTGATATATTGCTGAGGGCTGGCACAGAGCTGGAGTATTCACCAAATAATAAATGGTGCTATGGAGGGAGATTTATAATCTGCATTTGTGTGCATGTATATATATCTAACTACATATATATATATATATGCATGCACCTTTTGTGTACATTAATACCTCCTCAGCACAGGGATTGACCTCACCCTGTTTGTACAGGATGGCAGACAGAGAAGGCATGACTTATGGGCTAGCTGATACAACTCCTGATAAGACTGGACATGATACTCATGACATTCATTCAGCATCTTTCAGACAGGGACATCCAAGGAAAACCTATTGTTTACCTATCTGAGAAACAAATCTAGTTCAATTTGATAGAAATCAGCCCCACCTGAAGTCTAAAAGATAAAAGAGCATTTGGTTACTGCATCCAAAGCAATCAAATTACCCAGACCAATGAATTGCCAACTGCCAGATGAATCACTGTAACTGACAACATCTGTTTTCAGTCTGCTCCAACTGGAAAATAAAACATGTGCAAGACACCTCACCTTGATCATACCTCAAATACTGGACTAGTATTGTCATACCCAGTGACAGAATGAGGAGCAATGAATATAAACTAAACCACAAGTTCCACTTCAACATGAGAAAGAACTTCTTTACATTGAGGGTGTCAGAGCACTGAAATGGGCTACCCAGGGAGATCATGGAGTCTCTCTCTCTGGAGACATTCAAAACTCACCTGCACACATTCTGTGTCCCCTGCTGTAGATGACCCTGCCTTGACAGAGGGTGGGACTGGATGACCTCCAGAGGTCCCTTCCAACCCTAATTATTCTGTGATCCTGTGATTCAGTACAGCTACTACAGAAGACATGTCCAGTCCCTGCAAATTTCCGAATATGAACCACTTATCTGTTGGTAGTTTCAGGAGGGAATATATTTCCATAGCCTTTCTTGAGTATTGAGGTATTGATGACTTTTTCAAGAGAAAAAGACCCTGAAAAATTGAAAGGCTGCACAGGTTTCAAGAATGGCTGCAGATTTGGGAAACACAGAGAAACTGAAGGTCACTCTGTTTAACATACCCATAAGAAGATTACTGGTACAGTCTGACAAACCCCTAAGTAAGGAAGGGGATTTTGAACACAGGCAGCTCCAGGCAGAAGGAGGTTTGATAGACAGAAGGACACTGAAGTTAGAGGAGTCAGTGAAAAAATCCTGTACCCATTTCTAACAGTGATGGCTTACCACACCTGATCCTTCATGATCTAAGCCCTTTTAAGCAAGATTGTATTTTTCTGTAGCTGTGTCCTTAGCTGAAGCAGCAGGTATGAGAAAAGTCTGTTGCTGGGTGCACTGTGGTCACACTGAATGATCAGAGCAGTTTGTTCTGGCCTTAAATTCCATAGCCTTACGAACAATCAGTGGCCTTCTGCAGATCAGGCTTTCAAAACAACACATATCCTGTGACCTTATTTTTCTTAGCTTTGGTGCAGAAATCATTCTCAGGAATGTCAGGAGCGGGGCCTTGCTAAGTGGATAGTTTAAGTAAAATCCCTTACAGGAATGGCCAGAGCAAACCAATATCCATTTCCTTTCCAGGCGGGGCCATGAAAGCACTCTACTCCTACAGCCCCCAGGAAGACACATGGTGTTTGGTGACTCAGTTCACCCATGAGAGAGCCAGTTGTGGGATTTCTCCTTGCAACAACAAGTTGTTTATCACTGGGGGCCGAGACGAAAAGAATGAAGTCATTGCAACAGTGCTCTGCTGGGACCCTGAAACTCAGAAGCTGACAGAAGAGTGTGTCCTGCCTCGGGGTGTCTCTCATCACGGGAGTGTGACGCTCAGGAAGTCTTACACGCACGTCCGTAAGATTGTGCCTGGGGCAGTTTCTGTCTGATGGCAGGAGAGCTGCAAAGAAACCCAGTGCCCCCGTGTCCAACGGCACAGACTGCGACGAGGATGGCTGCGCAGCACGGGCAGCCATGGATAGAGCACTGGGCCCTCTGGGAGCATCTGGACATATGCTCAGGCCTTGCATTTCCTCTGTACAGTATATCCTTAAGTTATCTTAATTCCTGTCCTCCACAGAAAAACAAAGGGACCAGCTATAGTTTATTCCTGCCAACACAATACCTCCAATCAGGCAAAGAAATGTGATGCATAGGTGGGAAATTTACTTCCCAGCTATATCAGCTGTGAAACATGCTTGAACTGGCTCAGCTTGGTCCCAGAGTTTAACTATTTATTGTGTTAAGTTGGATTTGCAGCACCTACTAGTGAGAAAAAGAGAAGATGCTTTTTGGAATTAAAGATTTGTAACTTTGGTGGAATGTAATATCATTCCCTACAAAGCTGTGCTTTTTTTTCCCCAGTGGTTGGCACATTCGGTTAAGTTTGAACTGGTTTGTTTGTTTGCTTGTTTTCTTGAAGATACTTTGTTAGTTTTTCATTTCTGCGTGACCAAATAAATCCATCTCAGTTCGTAAACCTCCTGTGATTCCCAAGAAAGAGGCTGCACAGGCTGCAAGTATAAATGGACGCAAATCTGGTTCCACTGAACATTCACTGCAGCTGTTTTCTAATAAAGCACACCAAAAACTAGTTTCTCTTT